CAAATCCCCTCTGCCCAGGCCCGTCCAGGCCAGTCATGGTAAGCCCTCTGCCTTTCCAGCCTCTGGCTCGTGGGTGGTCACTAAGCCAGTGTGGACTGATGAGTTGCTACAACAGGTTTTCCTGGAGTTTCTGTGTGGACTGAGTCACACTTCTTCCTGTGGCTCCAAACAAGTCAACTGCCACCAGTTGCTCCTAGAAGCCATCTCATGACCATGAGGGGAACCCACAGCTTTAGGATGAAGTTGAGCAGAAAGACAGAAAGTACCCAAGCGCCTGAAGACCTCACTGGGCCACGGACCATCCAACCCTGAAACCTCTGCCTTCCTGTTAGACTTTCCTTTACGAAAGGTAATACATATTTCATTATTGAGGCCACTTTGAATCAAAGTATTTGTTAACTTGTAGCTAAAAATCTTCAGGCCAGGCCCAGTGACACAGGACTATAATCCCTGGTACTTGGGAGGCTGAGGCAGGAGGATCACAAGTTCAAGGCCAACCTGGGCAACTTAACAAGACCCTGTTTCACAAAAAGAAAAAGGGCTGGGGATATAGCTTCGTGGTAAAATGCCCTTGGATTCAATCCCCGATACTGTAAAAAAAAAAAAAAAATCTCAGAATTCAGTATGGGAACAGAAAGTCTTTCGAAGACATAAAAAGAAATGGGAAAAAAAGGTAATCAGTTTAAGAACTAGGTTTTGAAAGATTAAATTATCTCTTTACAGATGACATGATCTGTATAGAAATTCCTAAAGACCCCACCAAGAAACTTAGAATTAATGAATGCTTTCAGTAAAATCCTAGGATGCAAAATCAACATACAAAAAACAGTTACATTTCTATATACTAAACAATAAACTATCTGAAAAAGTAAGAAAATACTCCCATTTCCAATAGAATCAAAAAGAATAAGATAGGAAAAAATTTAGCCAACAAGGTAAAATATCTGTACAATGAAAACTATAATACATTAAAGGAAGACATTGTAGAAGACACAAATAAGTGGAAATAATAATAATAACCTGTGTACATGAATTGGAAGAATTAATAGTGTTAAAAATGCCCTTACTATCCAAAGTAATCTAAGGTTCAGTGCTATCCTTATCAAAATTTCAATGATATTTTTCACAGAACAAAAAAAAAAATCCTAAAATTTATATGAAGCCACAAAAGACCCCAAACAGCTAAAGCAATCTGGAGAAGGAAGAACAACACTGGAGGCATCACACCTCCTGATTTCAAATTATATTACAAAGCTACAGTAATCAAAGAGTATGACACTTGTATAAAATACAAACATAGACCAATGGAACACAATAGAAAGTCACAGAAATGAAACCCCACACATACATTCAACTGAGTTTCAATAAAGGCACCAAGAATACACAGTGAGGAAAGGGCAGAGTCTTCAATAAAGGGTGTGGGGAAAACTGGGTATTCACATGCAAGAAATGAAACTGGACCCTTAACTTACACCCCTTGCACTATACCCAGAAATCAGGTCAAAGGGGTTTAAAGGTTTTTTTAATGTTTTTATTTGTTTTAATTAGTTATACATGACAGTAGAATGCATTTATGCATTTTGATATATCATACATAGATGGGATTATAATTCCATATTTTTCTGAGTGTAACTACAAATCTTCTAGAAGAAAACATAGGAGAAATGTTCCATACTATTCATGTGATTTTTCAGATATGAGATCAAAAGCACAAGCAATGAGAAAAAAAAAATTGACAATGGGATCCATCAAACTAAGAAGCTTCTGCACAGCAAAAGAAATGCTCACCAAGAGGAAAAAAGCAACTTGAGGAATGAAGAAAATATTTGGAAGCCACATAACTCCTACAGCACTAAGCCCCAAAGTACATAAGAGACTCATGCAACTCTTTAGCAAGGGAAAAGTTAAGAGAGTAAAAAGAAAATGTTTAAAAATCATATATCTGATAAGAGCTTAATATACAGAAATATTAAAAACTCCTATAACTCAAAAAATAATTATAATATCAATGCGATAAAATGGGCAAAGGATATGAATAGACACTTCTGCAAGGAAAGTATGCAAATGATCAGTAAGTATATAATAAGGCTCAACACTATTAGTTATTAGGGAAATCAAAATCAAAATTTAATGAGATACCATTTCAAATCTGTATGGCTAAAATTTTTTAAAATGGAAACAAAATAACACATGTCAACTTAATTTTAGATGCACAAAAATCCTTAATTTTTATGAAGTCTAATTTAGCTACTTTTTCTTTCGTTGTCTGTGCTTTTGGTATCATTTCCAAGACTTTCCCCAATGTCCTCTTCTATGAGTTCTGTATTTTGGCTCTTAAGCTTAGGTATTCGAGTTAGTTTTTATGGTAAGGATCCAATTTTATTTTTTTTTTAATGTAACTATCCAGTTTTACCAGCACCATTTGTTGAAAAGACTCTTCTATCTCCCATTAAATGGTCTCAGTATCCCTGTTGAAAATTGATCAATAAAAAAAAAATAAAATTGATCAATTATATATATAAGAATTTAGTTCTGAGCCAGCATGGCGGACACACACTTATAATCCCAGCAGCTTGGGAGGCTGAGGCAGGAGGATCAAGAGTTCAAATTCAGCCTCAGCAACAGCAAGGCCCTAAGCAATTCAGTGAGACCCTGTCTCCAATAAAATACAAAATAGGGCTGGAGATGTGGCACAATGGTTGAGTGCCCCTGAGTTTAATTTCCCATACTCTACCCCCAAAAGAGTTTACTTCTGGCTCTCTATTCCATGTCTTTGGTCCATATGTTAGTCTTTATGTTAGTACCATAGTGTTTTAATTACTGTAGATTTAAAGTAAAATTCAAAATCGGAGAGTGTGAGACTCCAATTTCATTCTTTGTCAAGATTGTTTTGGCTATTCAGGAACCTTTGTAATTCCATATGAATCTGAGGATCAGCTTTTCCATTTCTGTGAAATTTTGATAGGGATTATGTTGCATCTGTTCATCACTTTGGATAGTATTGACATCCTAACAATTTTAATTCTCCTATCCATGAATATGTGTTATCTTTTCATTTTTAGACCTTCTTTAATTTCCTTCAGCAATGTTTCTCAGTTTTGAGCATACGAGCCCTCCACAATATGACCTGGCAATTCTACTCCTTGGTGTATATCCACAAGAAGTGAAAACAGTGTCTCAAATGTATATCACATACCCATATTTATAGTAGCACTCAGTGGCAAATACAATGGCACACTATTCAGCTGTAAAAGGGAATAACATTTTGACATGTACTATGACATGGATAGATTTTGAAAACATTAGCCTAAATGAAATAAGCCAGATATAAGACAAAAGTGTAATTCCACCGACATGAGTTACTGTGAACAGCAGACTCACAGAAACCGAAAGACAGGCAGAGGTTTCCAGAGGACCACAGCGCTGTTGTTTCTTCATTGGGTAGAGAATTTATATTGGGAATGATGAAAATAGTTTTAGAAATATTATGGTCATACCACATAGGGAAAGTATTTTATGTCACTGATGATAATATAAGGGTAAAATATCATATTGATGGAAAAATGATATTGTGTCTGTTTTATCACAATTAATAATGATAATAATAATGGGAGGGCACTCATTATTTGAACTTGTGGCTTCAGATCAATTATTCCAACTAGGTAATCACGTGGCGCTCTCTGGAGAGCCAATACAGAACGAAAGACTGGGCACAACCCAACACAAAAGTCAGTGGGGCAGGGACAAAGTCTGGGCTTAGTGAGAGCGAGAGCTCGCAGCCAACGAGTCGCAAACACCAGAAACTTCTCGGAGGCACAACTGAGCTTCTCACTCGGTCTAGAAGAAGTGGTGGCCCAGATGCTGGGGCCAGACCTCCAGCCAGCCTCCCAGGGCCCCTCGCCTCCCTCCATTCGGCCACACCCGGGCCCTTGTGTGCAGTGACACTTGGGTCTGAGACTTAACGATTTAACCGAAAACTAAACAAGGAAAGGACTGAGGATGACCAGGAAATCGCTGGCCATGCTCCTCGCTCTTCCACTGGGGAAGGGATTCCGGGCCGCGAGTCCCTTTCCGGGACGACGGTGGATCCGGCTGGTGCAATCCGAGCGCGGGACTCCGGCGCTTGTGCAACCCAAGGGCGGGGAGCCTCCGGGGCTGCCCCGGCTCCCACCCGCGCTCGCTCGAGGTCCAGCCCCGGAGCCCGGGTCCTCGCTGCAGCCTCCTCCCCGTCCAGCCTGGGGCCGAGATTCGCCGCTGAAGCCACGCGTCGCACCGAACCTGCAGCAGGCTCTTCCCCGCAGCTGGTAAACTGCCCCCACCCCGAACCCTCCGAGCTCAGGAAATGCAGCCCCCAAATCGGCCTCTTTGGTCCACTGATCCCTTGGAGCCGAAGACCCCAGCAAAACAGCGACTGCAGGAGGGGCTGGCTCCGCCCGGCCCCCTTCCGCCTAAAGACAGAGCCTCCAAAAGGAGTTCACTTGCATCAGGGAGTTTCGTCCAACTAGGTAATCAGATTAACTCGCACCCAGGTGAGACTAGAAGTCAACACACATTCAGATGAGCTTTGTCACAAACCGTCATTTCTTCTAAGGACCCCATACATCTTTTCCCTCTCCTCTCACTGATATGAGATGGTCTCTTTCTTTCCTATTCGCCCCCACGCAGGTAATAAATTTGCACACTTCGTTGTTGAACCCAGAGGCGCTTTACCACTGAGCTACCCACCCCTTTTTATTTTTGACCTAGGGCCTCGCTAAATTGCGGAGGCTGGCCTCGAACTTGTGATCCTCTTATCTCATCCTCGCGAGTCACATTACAGGCGTGCACCACTGCACCCAGCCAAATTTATGCCCCTTTTAAAGCTGGTGTTCACCTGCCAGCTGTCCGTTTATTTCATAGACTCAGTAATGCAACCCTCAGAGGGTAGAGGGAGTCTGCCCTCCCCTCCACCCTGCAAGGTACTCCCTCCACCCGCTGCTGCCCCCACACCCTCCCAGCACCTTCCAAGGAAAAACCTGATGTCCGGGGATCCTCCTGGATCCCGACCCAGCCTTCCGCAGGGCGACAGTTCTGATCAGCTGGAGCACGCAGAGCAGAATGAAAGTAAGAACGTGGTCGTGGTGGAATTTTTTATTATTGTTGTTCTAATGTTAGTAAGTGAAACCTTAGTTGAAATTTGCATCGTACCATATGGTTCTCTCCCCACAGAATTTCAGTACCCCTTTTCTTTCTCCGAATCGCCAGAAAGTGTACAGTACCCTCTGGTGGCAGGAACTTGTTATGGCACAGTCCCCTTTAGAAGTAAGGTTGAATAGGCCTTACCTGAAATATTTGGAACCGGAAGTGTTTCCGTTTTGATTTTTTTTTCAAGATTTTAGAATATTTGTGTGTGCATAATGAGATAGCTTGGGGAAGGAACCCAAGCCTAAACATTAAATTCATTTATGTTTTATGTTTAGCTTGTACACCTGGCCTGAAGTTAATTTTACACAGTATTTTCAGTGTCTACTTTGATGGGACAGTGGCTTGAGGTTAGAGCGAAACTTTAAATTTGAGGCCTCATTTCAACTTCTCAAAAGTCCCAAATTTTGGAGCATTTTGGGTTTTGGATTTTCAGATTTGGGACACTCCACCTGTGTCTAGTAATACCTCCTCTTGTAATGCATCCTGTTGCCCATCCTGGGAAAACAGAATTCCTTTCTCCAACCTCTAACCAAACACTGCAAAATCAAGGTTATAAGTGCCATTATTTCCTCCTAAATAAGGGTGAAATAGCATAAGGAATAGGTGTATGCGATGAGCCCCATATTGGGCAGTTCGTGTGCCCACACTTGGGTATATAGTCTAGACAGAGAGAGTTCAGACTCTGAGGAAGCCCATATTTTTAATGGAAAAATGAGCTTTCCATTTCCTTAGGTCTCTGAGACCTTCCTTACATTTAGGAATCCCCAAGGCCGATGTATCCCTGCCCACTTGGATTCTCCCCATAGACTGCAATGCCCTGAAGTGAGCCTCCCCCACAGAGCACCTCAGCTGCACCACCACAGGGCAGGATCCAGGAGAGGCTGAACCTGCAGAACACTGAGGGGACACTTGGGGCCCCTTGGCCGACTTCCATGAGGAGCCCACAGCTGTTGGCCCACAGCTTACCCAGAGGGTTCTCACTGTGCCAGTGTCTTTTCCCAGGGCATCTCAGTGGGGGATTGACTAGAGGGAAAGCCTGAAGTTATGGGGTAAGTGGACAGTCATCTCCTAAATGGAGAAGTGGGTTTTTTAAGTGAATGTTGTCAGGGGACGGAACGCCTCCCCCGCCTACAGCATCCCAACAAATCAATGAAGAGTGTCTGACCTTGCCCTGGAGGCAACCAGTGCTGCGAAGGTTTTTCTATGAAATGTGCAGTTTGCATCAGATGCAAAGACTTTGTGCACTCATGAGGGGTCCCACATACAGAACAAGGGGTGTCTTCTCAGACTGATGGCCATAACTAACAGGGCGTAAGGCTCTGGCCCCAGGAAATAATGTCTAACTAGAGCATGGCCGGGTCCAGCCAAGCATCTGGATGGAGCCCAGCAGTGCCTGGAGTTGCTCTGGTTTCTCCTGCCTCGTGAAGAGGACAGCGGCCCGCGTAAACAAGAGAACTTCGTGCCACCATCCCCCAAAATTGAAATCCCAAGTAACAACAACAAAAAAAATCTTAGCATTTTTCTCCCCAGCATGAACACCAGGACTTTTACAAATTCCACATATTTTACTGGAAAAATGTTTACTGTGATCTTCTCAAAGTTTGTTATCAGTGCTACATTTGGCCTTTTTGAAGAATATTAGCTATGGACCACAATGTTCTACTTCCATCCCCTGTGAAACATCACAAGGTCTGTCTTCCCAACCTGTGTGTTCTGAGACCCTTTCTGCCCAGCTGCCCCAAAGCAATTCACGAAGGTGAATGAGTTGTATTCCTGCTAAACTCTTCAAAAAATGTAGCTGGGGATGTAGCTCACAGAGCACTGCCAAAAAAGAAAAAAAGAAACAACCTTCAGGAAAATATCAAATGAATTTATTTCCATGTTTTTATTCAATTCATTAATGAGGAAACCAGGAAGATACTACAACTGGCTGGAAGGAGAAATTGAATAACTGATATTTGCATTGTCATTCAAGTTAAGGAAGGCTGAAGAGAATTTTCTAATATAAGCAAAACTGACTAATCCCCTACTATACAATAAACTGTCTGAAGTCATTTTTACTTCCAGACAATAATCAATGGCATCTGTCACACTAATCATTTTTTTCTATTTCAATTCACTTGCATTGTTAAAGTCAAGAATCATTTACAAAGTTTTCAAACAAGAATCTTTATATTATCATCAGTTTTCTGCAAGCTAACCTGTACCTCTTAGACTTAGAAAATACCCTGGGAGGGATGAGTCAATAAAATAGAAAGCATGCACTGAAGGAATACCTGGTAAGATTATTAGGTATTCTCTCAATTTTTCTGACAATGTATAAATTTGATATGTTAAGAAACTAGGAGACAGGTGCAGTGGTACACACCTGTAATCCCAGCAACTTGGGAGGGTGGGGAAGGAGAATTGCAAGTTCAAGGCCAGCCTCAGCAATTTAGCAAGACCCTTAAAGCAGCTTAGTGAGACACTGTCTCAAAATAAAAAATAAGAAAAGGCTGAGGACTCAGCTTAGTGGTAAAGTGCCCTGGGTGTGACCCCTAGTACCAAAAAAAGAAAAACACCAGGGCAGGATGGTCTCCATTCTTCTCCTTTCTGGAATTGTGATTGATGTCATGCCAAACTCGTTTATCAATTCCGAGCCCACAGCTTGTTTTCCCCATAACACAGGTGCTTGCTCAGGTGTGTTTATGCTAGTGATGGGCCATCTGAAGACCCAGTTAGCCAGGCCGACATCCTAGAGAGTACAACATAATTGTAGCACAGAAAAGTGCCTGGGTTGGCCCTTCTACAGACACACCAGCATGACCCTCAAGCAAACTTTTTCTATATGAGATTAGATAGTAAATAGTTTAGACTGTTGTAGGCCATAAAGTTTCTGTGGCAACAACTTGACTCTGCCATTGTAGCATAAAGCAACCTTAGCACCTAAGCCAATGGGTGTGGCTGTATCCCAATAAAACTTTATTTACAAAACAGGCAGTGGGCCAGGTTTGTCAAACCCTGATTAGAGAATACAGAAGTCATTGATTCACTCAACAAATATTAGCTGCTTTCCAAAGACAGCCATCTCCAGACAGACTTGTCCCTGCCCTCATCAAGTTGCTGATGAGGCAAAGAAGGCAGTTTAAATAAGAAATTTTGGCAAAGTATATTGGCAGGAATGGCAGGGTAAACAACCCTAGTTCAATGGGGAAAAAAATGACAGTCAAGTTAGAACATAAATATTTATTACAGTGCTGAGCTTGAGGTCTCTACAACATAGCTAAGCAGAGATGTAATTTAGATAAGCATTATTAAGTTCAGAGCTCAGAAAGCCAGTCTGGGCTGCACCTTAGATTTGGTGGGTAGGCTGAAGCCTTAGGAGTAGGCGGCATTGCACAGGAGATGGGTGTGGCAAGAAGGGCAGCGGGAGTGTCCACACCAGCCCTTTCAAGCCTGAGAGTGCCCCTCAGCCACATGGAGGGCTTCTGAAAACAGACTGCTGGGCCCCGGGGTGGGGCCCAAGAATCTGTGATTCCATCAAACTCCCAAAGAAGAAACATGTAGAATTACAGTCAGGTTTGAGGGAAAGGACTTTTAATTACAATACAGATATTGCTGCTCCCAACAAAGAAATAGAAACATCTTTTAAAAGTACAAAGTGCTGACACTTTGGTCATGGAATCAAGAAATAAGCCCAGACTACAAAAGAAAAAAAAATCATGTCATCATCTTCATCGTCACTGATATAGACCCCAAGTCCATTTCACTGATGTTAGATCTCATGGACTATCTAACACAGAGAAATAACACCTTTCATGAGGCTGGATAGCTCTTGGACTTCTGTAAAACATTCTTTAAAAAAATGTTTAAAAGTTCTTAAAAATGCTTAAAAAGCAACCTCGATGGATGTTGATAGATGAAAAGAAGTTGCTATGGCAAAAAGGATACTAATGTGTAAATCCTCCATCCTTGGGGCAGCTCTAGCCCTTGACTTAAGTTGAATGTGACTTTTGTCACTATTGCTGCAGCCAAGAAATTATTTAGTTACAACAGGTCCTACAAGAGACAAATCCCAAAATATTAGTGAAAAGTTGGAAGAAAAGGTTTTGGAGTCAGGCAGCCATGGGTTTCATTTCTAGACCTGTTATTTACTTAAAGTGACCTGGGGTATATTACTTTATGAGTTTATTTCCTCATATGAGAATGATAATAGGTTCTGAGATACAGGTTTAAAATTTTTCCAAAATAAGAAGGACAGAACGCCTGTGGTGAGTGCCCAATAGTTTATAACTTTTTTGTCATTATTTCTATTGTTGTTTGAAGAAGTGAGCAGTTGGAGTGCTTAATTAGTTCATAAAGTTGTCAAGGGACTTTAATATCTTACTCTAGAGTAAAGTGATAAAACATGAAACTTAACCTTACAGAAGAAGCTTAAAAGAATGACCCAGGAAGTTTAATGGCTTTTTTAGTTTTGTGTAATGAATCATCACAAGAAAGGAGCACACTTCCAAATCCCTTTTCACCACAGTCGGAGTAAACAACAGGACGGGAAAATGCAAAGGCAGCTAGCAGAGAATCCTAAAGAGAAGCAGAGAACCATGCAAACAGAAAAAGAATCATTTCCATATTTATAAATAACTGGCAACAGGTCTTTTTGCAGAAAGCACTGGAGCAGAACCTTCTCCACCACATTGAAAAGGATTTTGAATTAACATGGAATGGCTGCAGGTACGGGGTCCTAGTCATCTTTCATCACTATAATGAAATTCCTGACACAGGCTAATTACAAAATAAAGGAGATTCATTTGGCTCACAGTATGGAGATTCAAAGTCCAAGCTAGGGCAGCACCATTGGTTTGGCCTCTGGTGAGGGTGGTAGTTGGTGGCACATCATGGCAGAAGCATATATAGTAACAGTCACATTTCAAAAAGGAGACCAGAGAGGACTAGAGGACTATGTTTGCTCCTCTCATTACAATGCTCTT